GGTCCCATTTTAATTTCATGAAAATATTCCATCTATAAGGGTGGCAAACTAGGGGATGAATCTGGTTTTGCGCACTTTCCGGTAACTAATTTCAATAAAACTTGCCAAATAAATTCCACGTACTTTTGAGGTCGTTTTTTTTTATAAAAAAAGGGTCAATTATTGTTTTTATTAATTATTTTAATCAGTTCCTCTAAGTTGGGTTTTAGAGGTCACAGTAGATCAATAATTGTGCGCAATTATGAAGGACAGAATAGGCTCTGAATGCCGTCTTCTACATATAATGCTGAAGATGTGTCCTTGAAAGTTCTCTGTGGCGGTTTCCACTTCGATCGATATTCGATGTTTTTCAATAAATATGCCTAATAATAATACCATTGGCCGAAACAAAAATCGAATATTTAAAACATTTTCCGTCCTCATCCAAAACTACTCAAACATAATAAAAAACCACGCCTGTTATCTTTTTTATTGTCTTCTATAAAAACCGGAAGGCGCTTGTGATAAAAACGATGAATTCCTTTAGTTCTAACGCCATTTGCACAAAACTTAAGCACGAAACAACAAAAATATTATGTCGATTATACGTACCTATACAGACAAGTATTCCCACTTATATTTAAACACTTAAACAAGTCACTTACTAACACTTTTAATACAAAACACAGAATTAATAATATCTAAAGACGTTACGTAGGGAGAGTACGCTAGGACCGGTTTCGTTGAAGACTGACTGCGTGCGCATGGGCATGGTACGCGCTACCTGTGGTTTGGACATAGAGTAATAAAACTCCGCAGTTACTCGACTATTTCGAAGGCAACGTTTTCAAGTTATATATATACACATGTGAAATGGAATCGTATTATCGAATGCTACTTTTGTATTATTTATTGCATAGAAAAAAAATACAAATATTTCCAACCAACCCGAGAACATTTTTTGCAGCAGTAGAGCTCCTTGTGAAAGAGTTCGTCTATGGAAGTACTGCTACCTTAATTATTTTTGTCGCCAAGAAATAATATCAGCATTACTGTGTTCCAGTTTTGAAGGGTGTTGGTGAAATTACAGGCACATGAGACTTGCCAACTTATGTCTCAGAGTGACGGGCGCAGTGGCAGTGCCCCTAAGATCTTTGGGATTTACAACTCTGAGTGACACTGCAACTGTTATGGACAGGCGTGTAGCTTGCCATCAGGCGCATGACTTGTTCTTCCCGGCACTTGATATTATAAAAAAATATATTATTCATTTTATTAGATTGACAAATGCCACAAGATAAGCCAACTGATGGAAGACACACTCCATCAAAAATGACTTCTAACGCCATTTTTCAGGGTTCAAAAAATTAACTTTGTGCAATGATAAACTCCAATATTAAATATACAAGTAAGTACAACCACCAAAATACCTCTGTAAACAATTTAGTCACTCCCTTCAACTACTCGTACTTCATATGAATTACTTGCATTGTGCAAATCCATCTTACTACATTAGCTTGGTTTATAATTACAAATAGGAGATTATCTATTATATTTTTCTCTTAATATATCTAATCTATAGGTTAGGATAGATATGAATGATTTCTTACAAATGTTCCACATTGTCTTGTTACTCTATCAAGTTCTTCGATAAAGAGAAATTGAAAAAGAAATCGTGAAAATCTTCACCAACCAAAGTTAGATATGTTTTTCTCCTACTCTGGGTCTATCTTTTTAGGTAGTTCTTTCACAAACAACTCTTAGCTACGCTAATGCAAATTAAACTTTGATGTACCGATAAGAAAACACCTGCAATCTTGTAACGAGTATACATTCTTAGCATTAAAAATTTAATAATCACTATTCATGTTAACAGTTAATGTGACTGACACAATTTCTGCACAGCATCTTATTGGTGTTTAAAGAAAAACTTCTTCTAAAATCCAATCAAAAGTAATATAATAAAAGTATTCTATTTACACGCGGAACGCCTGCAGAAATATTTAAAACAATAAACATAAAGCATTTTCAACGCCTGATAAAATTATTGGAGCAATCAAGTATTGAATACGTTTGCTATTAAATTGCATATAACAACACAGCAGAAAATTTCAAATGATAATAGGAATATTTAAAGAGCAAACACCTATACGGAATTTCTAAAATATATTAGACAGATCAGGCACTCGCGTTTTAAACGTGTGCCATGAACGAGTACTACGCTAGCAAACGCTATAGCACATTTGAACCATTTATTTCCACACACATTGACTACATAATAAAGTAACACTATCTGAGAATATACAAAAGAAATTAAATTATTTGCGTGTAGGGGGACAGTCTTCATTCAAGTTGTAGTAGATTTTTCCTGATCATGAGACTGACCTTCAAGTTAAGGTTGGTCCCTAACGCATAGCCGTTTATTTCATTGACACAAATAATACAGAGTTCAACTTTGTGCACATGCTCGGAAATGTTTGCATTACTTTCAAACAACGAACACGGTGTGTCATTTATGGACCATGCGACTTCTTCCCGGCCAAGGGCAGGGCTTAGTGGATGGAAAAGGGCAAGGCATGAAAATCCATTACTGTCCTCTTCTCTAAACTTTTAAATCTACCTACTAATCATGAATTAGGTAAATACTCTCAAACAGTCAACTGAAAATACCTACCTGTATCTCTTACTTAAGAGGGAGCATGCCAAAAAAGTTTTGACGTTGGCACCGCCCAAATTTGTGAAACAAATATATGCCTGAAGTTCGCGTGACGTGCGACAGATGTTGAATTTTGCGCATTAAAAGTACCAAATTCGTTTTAGCGGAATAACTCTAAAACTAAAGGGATTAAAAAAAATCCGTAGTGACTGTTCTCGATCATGCATAAATATAATTAATTATCTAATTCTTGTCCTAATAACCTGTAGCATGAATCGAAACAATGTGAAAATTAGAGGTCATTTCGTGATTTTTATGTATCGAGGAAACTTTATTGTTTTATGTTTCTGATTAATGTCTATGCTTGAATATATCGTGTAGTTACTCATACAATATTTTATTTTTAATTTTAAAGTGGCTATGCCCCTCTAAAATCAAATCGAAGATTAGGAATTTTTCCTCTGCTCCCTCTTAAAAAAAAGAAAAAGATAATGGGGGTAACATCAAAATACTTTCTTTTGTTTTTCGTCTTTTTTGTATTATGCTCGCGAAAATGAGTGTTAGTGAGAAGAGCGACAACGAAAATACAGTAATAGATACACAAGGATACACATTCAAACACACCATCACAAGTTCAGCAGAATACTATTATTAATCTGCTTGGAAAAACAATAACATTTTCTTTTAACAATTGTCCTAACATGTCAAATATTAGTTTTAATATGAATTAATATTTTTTTACATTTTCTATTTATAATGGGTTTTTCAACAAGAGCTTTGTTTTGTAAATCAAAATAAAACAAAAAGTTTAGACGACAATGATTAAAATTGTATTAAAAAAGGTCAAGTTTGGCAATTATCAACGAAAAATTATACCTGATAAATGTCCACCACGACCACACTTACAGATGTCGATTCTTTCATCAAAGTTTTTACTCGCTTTTTGACAAAATGGTGGGTCTGTTTCGTTAATCACTTCACGAATTTTGAGTTTTAAGGCTGCAATCGATTCGATTGGCTCCGTATAGAATCTGTCTTTAACATAACCCCATAAAAAATAGTCCTGCGGTGTTAAATCACATGATCGAGCTGGCCACTTAACGGCTGAATTTCGTGAAATTATGCGATCGGGAAATTTGGTTTGCAATAAATTTCTTGTTTCGGTGGCTCTGTGACATGACTCGGCGGGAACAGGGATTGCTTACAAGGCATCGTTATCGCTCGTTTTTTTTTTTATTGTATTTATTACATTTAAAAGTATTAAAAAACAAAACATACCAGTATAACATAAACTTAACTAAGTTTTTCTGTATACCGCTCATTCGTCATACAAAAATATTTCTATGTGTAGTGTGCGCGTTCGTACTCCTTCGTGTTGACATTTCGTGGTGTGCGTGAGTTCGGTAATATAGGGTGTCAATAAACTTAAAATTTTGTACATCCTACTGTTGAACACGGATATAGTATACTAATTCTAATATGTAACTCATAATCGCCAACAATCCCTTACTTCCCGGCGGCATCTGCAATAATTTTATATCCCAGTTAGCCAGAAAGGACCTTACCGTGTTTTATTGAACAAGTAATATAAGCTCACATTATTGGTTAGCAGCAGTACCTCCCTGGACAAACTCCTTTACTAGCTTTACTGTCGCTAATCTTGTGTTAAATGTGAAAAATATAGTGTAGAGAACTTCCCTGGACGAAATTCACTGATGATTTGAATAAAACATTCTTTATTGCACATTAATTACTATAACAACACAGAATAGTAATGTAGTTAAGCATCGCATAATAAGCTTGATGTACAATTTACGTGGTCTGTGTTGTTTTTAACAATTTCTCCCCAGCAACTGTAGGATTGAATAGAAATTTAATTCAAATAAATACACTACTATTAATTACACTACTAAGTGGGAAATAGTCGTATCGTATCAGATGCCGAAATTAATTCATAGATACATTAAAAATTCTTGGTTGGAAATTTTACTTTCCGTCGCTTAGGTGGGTAATTTTTAGATTAGTTTTCTCTACCTAATGTCGGTGGCAATTTTTAGAACTTAAATATTCTTGAATATTTTGTATGTCATTTAATATTATAGATTTTTGTATTGATTATTACAAACATTTTAATTCCAAATAGGAGACATATCTACCATTTCTAAAGAATATTATTTATATCGTTCTTGTTAACATTGCAAGGAATTCGAAATTAAATTCACATCATATTCATTTATTTACTATTAATAATTATTATTTAGAATAGAATAAAATATAAATCGTTTATTACTACGCCACAACAAAAATATAAACAGAATAAAATAAAGATAAAAAAAAGATGAAGCTAAATTAAAACAAAAAATTAAAATAAAATAACAGGAAAAAAAGGAATAAAAATAAAATCATACACAACAATAGCAAACATGAAATATTCAACACAATTAGATTGAATGTCATATGTGCGGCTGTGGCGTATGTAACAGGATCCCCTCAGCTATTATCACCACCGAGAAAAGGCTGTGACGCTGATTTTCAGTGAGCCCTAAAACTGAGTGAGTACCGGACGTGTGTGTCGCGAATATACGAGCAAACTTAAATAAATTACATAAATATTTCTATTATGTAGTATGTTGTGTTCAGTTATACGTATAAAATACTTAAATAATGATTTTGATACATATATACAGTGGTAAGTGCATGTAATTAGGTGTCCAACATTTACAACAAACAAAATAGAACTTATTTAGTTTACAATGAAACCGATTGTGAGGTTTGTGTATAATTTCATATTATATTATTAATTTATTAATTATTATTATTGACTGCCTCCGTGGCCGAATGGTTACCATGCCGGACAGCCACGCAGAGGTTCCAGGCTCGATTCCCGAGCCGGGAGAAACACTTGTATGGCCTACATTTATTTCTCTCGTGAGTTTGGGTGTAATTTGTGGTTGTCTATGTGGGGCTATGTTGAGTGTGTGCGTTATTTTTTTTTAAGTCCCTGTCTTTTTGCTCCTCCTCCTCTCCCTTTTTTTATTTCTTTGTGATACACAGGTTGCAAAGGCGTTACAGGAATTAATTTCAAATCACAGTGTTCAGCGGCATGCCTAGTTTTCCTTTTGTTATGTAGACACACGTTCAATAATTTATATTTAATATGTGAGTTGAACAGTTGAGTAGAAATAGAACTCCTCGCGTTAAGAGCTCGTCCAGCGAAGTGCTGCCACCTTACCTGGCTCTGCCGACAAGCAGTAATGTGTTCCAATTTTGAAGATAACTTGTCAATACGAAGAAAGACTTGCCAACGTAATTTCTTTGCGATTTAAAGATCAGAGTGACACTGTAACTGTTATGACAGGCGTGTCGCTTACCACCAGGCGCACGACTCGTTCCTCCGGTCACTTTATATCATAAAAGAAAAATATTTATTGTATATACATTGTACAATGAACTAACCTAATCTAAGCCAAGCAATTCCAGTTACATGTTGAAGTTCAAGTGTAGTACGTGTGAAAATGCCTGAGGGCATTGTTCTCTATTACGCTATTACGACGTCATTGTCATAACCAACGTAATCGACTTTTTTAGCGAAATTTAGTTATTAACAGATCTGGAATCAGCGAAACAAAATCTACAACCCCCTATAAGCGGTTGTTTTAAATCTTATTTAGTTTCAGTTTTATTGTTATATGCAAAATCAGTGCAATTGACATTTGTCAAAGAAAAAAACGTTATGTTAGTTAGTCATTGACACGAACCGCACAGATAACAACGTAGGAGAAAAACAGGTTTAGTTTACGGAAACAGATTTTAACCTCAAACATCTTTATTCCAATATATATAACTACAAAGTTATAAAATAACGATATTTAATAAAATACAAAGTAACGCGTATCTACACACTGTACACTGATTCTATCCGACGGCCTTAAGGAACGAGGGAACCCTTTAGCAAGCTATCATCGTCATCGACACATGGCATCACTTGGGCCGGGCGTTGACGGCTGGAAAAAATTATATCAACTTGTGATAGAAATTTTTGAAATGTATTATTTGAGATTTTTTGCGAAATAACTGCACTGGTTTTGTTATGATTTTTAATACAAAGATCGAACATATAGAAAATCTTTTGCGACCCGATGGGACTTGAACCCGCGACCATGCTGCAGCGTAGCATTGCTCTTACCAACTGAGCTACAGGTCAAGTCACTGAGTTGTCGAAATTCTCCAATGTGTTTTTGTTATATACATAGATCTTTGTACTGCTTACGGCATTCGTCGCCGCCAGTGACATCTAGTGAGAGATTGTTTAACAGCATCGAGTATATAACCAGAAATAGTGACGAAACAAGGGCCATCCATCCCTAGCAACTCAGGCAAATAATAATAATAACGCACACGTCGCGGGTGCCATGGACACACACATAGACAACAACATAATCACACCCAGACTCATAAGAGAAATAAATGTAGGCTATACAAATATTTCTCCTGGCCTGGGACCTCCGCGTGACAGTCCAGTATGGTAACCGTTAGGCCACTGAGGCAGTCTGGCTTTATATCACTTTTAAATGTCAACTCTCATTTGCGCTGAAATCACAAATTAGAAAATTGAAATAGTACAGCGCCAAAAACTGACCTGTGTGTACGTCTCCGTATAAGAAAGAAAGAAAGAAAGAAAGAAAGAAATAATTTATTCCTTGAAACACACAGTACACATGCATTTTATAATAATAATAATAATACTGATAATAATCGTAATAATAACCTAAGGATTTGAAACTAAATACTAATAATATAAATATAATATATGGAGCACAAAGCATGTGTGCTGTGCTGCCAAGGAAACCGTGACCCACTCAGCTTGTTGTCGTCTCACATTCAAGTGCTACGACGCTGATTTTCAGCGGATCCGGCAACAGAACACACGTATATTCTAAAAGTATTCTGTATAAAGATAATGGGGGCTGTTCTATTCGATGGTGTGGGAAAAACAGCAAAACATCTAATTACAAAACAAACGGAATCACATTTTATCAGTAATTAAATATGTAATTTTTCAATTTTCGTCCATCATAGCAAAACTCAAGTTAAACTGGTCGATTTGAAGTGAAACAATTGACGACACCCGTCAATTGTTTCGAGTTCAGGCTGGCCAATCGGAGCGCAGTTGTCAATGTAATGATTTGGCAGAATAGTTTTCAAACAAAGTAAATGACATTTCGTCTCTATTTCTGGTTATATACTCGATGCTTCACAGGCTCAGTTGGTAAGAGAAATGCTACGGTGCAACATGGTCGTGGCTTCAAGTCCCATCGGTTCGAAAAGGTTTTTCCATGTATTCGATCTTTATATTAATAATCGAAATATTTAAATGTAACAGATGCCATAAGTTGCTTGTCACCTATTTTGCTCAAGTGTGTTTTGAAGAACTCAAAACACTCATCAAGCACAAAAAAGCCAAAAAAAAAACGGAGTAAGAACATAATACGGAGTAAAGTTTTTTTTAACACTTGTTACCTACACCAGATTGTATAATTTTAGAGAATTTAATTCCATAGAAGTAAGTAAGAACGTATAACTACCAAAAACAGTGAGTATCTCCTATTTACAATAAAACTATAATTGACAATCATGATTCTCCACAGGCTCATGGGAAACGTTGTCCTCTTTACGTTGTTACGACTTATTCCTTTATGATTTAGTACCTGTAGACCTCCTTATGAAAGAGTTCGTCCAGGGAAGTACTGCCACATTACCTATTTCTGCCGCCAAGCAATACTTAATGTCAGCATTACTGCGTTTCGGTTGTGAAGTGTAAGGTGTTTCTCAACTTGTCTCAGGACGACGAGTGTAGTGGCAGTGCCCCTCAGATCTTTGCGAAACCTCTGAGTGGCAATGCGACTGCGCACGGCTTGTTCATCATATCATTTAGTATTATAAAAAAGGAAAATCTTTTGGATTTAAAGCACAGTGGCACTGCAACTGTTAGGGGTAGGCGTGTCGCTTACCACCAAGTGCACCACTTGTTCGTCCCGCTACTTGAATATTTAAAAAAAATCGTATACAAAACTGCAGCTTTGCGTCACTATCACAAACCGCTTTGCAGATTCATAAAAAACTCATACATTACAATCCCAAGGTGGCCTAATCATCAGCTTAACCATCGGAACGGGTGACATGCACCATGGAATAACCTTGTAAACAGTGTAGGCTACAGTCACTCATGATTGTCAATTAAGTAATCATTGCATTGCAAGGATTTGACACACTGTTCTTTGGGCCCCATTTATAAAGATAGATCTTACTAAAGGAGTTCCCAATGATTTTTAAGGACATAAAAGAGGCTTCAAATAGTCTACCCTGGTTCAGGCGTGAGTCCCACAGGGACGAGCACTGGGGCCCGTGGCGGTGCCGGCTCGCCTTGCAGCTGGGAGAGCGCGCAACGCACCGCTGACATCACTTCCGGATTGGACTTGCGCCCTCCAGGAGCGTGGGGGCGGTGGGGGCGCACGAGTCGCTCTGCTGTGGCAGTGGATTCTGAAAAGAAATCTTTGTATTTTTAATTAAGACATGCTTTTTTAACCGGTTCTTAATTCGACTGCTTGGCGGCAGAAATAAGAAAGGTGGCAGTACTTCCCTTGACGAACTCTTTCACAAGGAGCTCTACTGCTACTTATGCTATAATGGTTGCCACTGTAGTGAAGGGATATGCCAATTGTTGTAAGGTAGTCGCCGATTTAGATTTTAAGGCTTTCGCGGTCATTCACTGATTGCATCTATTATATCAAGAACCCGATTCTTAGTGATTACAATAATAAAAACAAAAGTTGTACTAGTAGTAGTCTGACTTCAGTTCCGCATGTGGATACAGTGAGTGTGGTTTGTCGGAAAAAAGTGAGTGACAATGGTAACGCCACAAGTAATCGAAAGAGGGTAAACATGGTATATCTGTTCTTAATGCTGTCATCTGCCGCTGGCCAATCAACCCGTGACCAAGGAGCGCGTAACTGTTTCGAAGTTTTCAGGAAAATAAAAATAAATCGTAACGTGATAAGAAACCTGTAATTAATTAATGATAATCATTTACTTGCCGATTGTTGTCCAGTGTCGGCCAGAAGTACAGCAAAGAAATTGTTTGTCGTGCGGGAAGGCTCCTTCCGTGCACTCCAAACAATTTTAAAATGTAGGTAAAACTAGAAAGACGTTCTGTGAATAGAGTCATCTCGGAAACAATACAACTTTAAAGATTGTCATTCTCTCCCACATACAGGTACGTCTAACACCACTGTGCAAGACGGATTGCAATTCTGAATAGGTTAAAAAAAATTAATTTATTGATAGTGACAAAGCTCAAACAAAACCGTGTACACACATCGTTAACTTAAACAAATATATGGAAGATTTCGACAAAAATACGAAGAAAATTACTCATCGCGTACAGTGAATAACGACATTCGAAATTTATCCATGCAAAGCAACAACTCACAAAGAAATTAATAAGGTACATATAGTACAGGAAGTAGAACAAAGAGACAAGTAGCCAACGTACAGTGGTCTTGTGTTTCGTCTTAAATATAACACGAAAGGCCAAAAATTACAGACCATTATTCTGGCTTGCCGTGTACGAGTATACTGGTTACTTTAAATATGTTTGTTGTTGGCAATCCTTTCATACTTACATATATGAATGGGTACTTTAAACTTGTCTGATATTGGGAAACTAGTGTGTTTGTAAAAGATATGTGTAATATGGCCGTAACTCACGGTTCACACACGGCCGTTCCCTATCCCCAGTATGATCCCGTCGCAGACAGCAGTTGCAAAAGTAACAAGGCACTCCGGGAACACCGCAGCAGAAAGCCCCCCACAGCCATTTGTTCAATGTGGTTCCCGCGCGGGACCATGCGCTCGGCCTGTCGTCATTAAGGTTGAACACGAACTCCCGGTTCATTCCACTGCATCATCAGCGAGGACACTTTGACGGGACGCCACGTCAACTTTGACATTGTGACAGCTCGTGTCTTGTGTCATAATCATTTTTATTTTAGTTGGTCGTGGTTTATTGAGGTTGGATGATGAAAATAGTTTCGTAGTTGTAAGATAATGTACAGGTAAGGTAAAAAAGATAATAAAAGGTTTAATTAAATACTAGAAAGTAAAATTAGGATTTTTAAGTTATATGAAACGAAATTGGGTCCCCGCGGCAAGGTGCTCAAGATGCTGGCAGCGTTCCCCCTTTGTATTGCTATGCTAATACGTCGGGCAAGTTAGCTGCGGGCCCTTGAGTTTCCCAGAACGTCTATTAATTTTTTCGATAAAATTTTGTAGAAGATGCAGATGAAGGGCACTGGGACCCCACGGGCCAAGGTTTTCGACTCCAACGGCTATAAATAGGTAGTCGGACCCGAGATCCTGGTACTTATTAGTTTTTATTCTTTCCGCCAGCTCAGCTGTGGAGCCAGCCCTCTTGCTGGTGTGGGGCAAATGTGTCGGCACATGTGGCATCCCACACCAGTGCTCGGCCCATACTCCAAGGGATGAGAGTCATTCCTTCCGGGCGTTTGCCATCTGTTCGCGACATGCCGCGTGGCTCGAGTATAGCGAGCACGTTAACAGTGGCTAAGGCTAAGTGGCGGCAGATGATGTCGTTGAGGGCTGCATGCCGGGAGATACGGCCCGCGCTCAGCTGGCAGGAAAGACCGCGGTGACCCAGAGCACTTACGTCTTTGCTGCAAGGACGCCGATGAGGGGAGCAAACTGGGACGCCAGCAGAAGCCTGCAGCTATGCGAATGGCCTCGGCGCTCAGGAAAGTACCGGTACTGGCAGAGGGCAAAACGTGTAGCCAGTGGCCAGATTCCCACCTGGACCCCGCTTCCAGATGCGCTCGGTCTCACTTTATATACGTATGTTACGCGTTTGCTTCGACATTTGTGAACCAATTTCGATGATTCTGATTTTTGTTAGAAAGGGGGTACCTTAGTAGTGGTCCTATTCAAATTTGAAGAAAATATTCCACCTCCAAGGGCGGCAAATTAGAGGATGAATCCGGTTTATTGGATTTCAGCCACTTTCCGTTAACCGCGTGATTCCACAAACTTTTGAGGTCGGATTTTTTGTAAAGAAGTTAGGATTATCAAGATATCAAGTGACGAGATGAACAAGTCGCGCGACTGGTGGTCACGGCTGTCCATTACAGATGCAGGGACGCTTAAGCCGGGTACAAGAGAGCTGTAACCGTAACCGTTGCATGTCATATTACCAAAAATGGTAGTGTAGTGTACGTGGTTCGCGAGCTTGCCACGAGCAGAACGCGTGAGGTTCGCAGTGAGTTGACGATAACCAGGTACTCATTCTAGCGAGTGAAGACTGTTACACGCGTACACACTAGAACCTCGTTACTGTATCTGTATGGAGTCTGGTGCCTTTGGAATGGCTATGCTACATACCAATTGGTCACCTTGGATTCAATTGACAACCGTGCCAAGAATCTTATAGGTAAGTCGGTTAGTGGGGGCGAAGCTGCAGAGCCTTGAACACCGCCGTAAAGTTACCTGCTTATCGGTGTTTTACAGGATACATCACGGAGAGTGTGCGATGAAATTACACGATTTAATTCCGCCTTCCCCTTTCCATCACTGTGGGACTAGGCGTTGGCTTGGGTTCCACCCCTATGTTGTGGATATTCCAAAGGTTCGCACGAAGCGTTACGCTTCCACATTTATATGGCGAACGGCTATGGAGTGGAATTCCCTGTCTGCAGACTTGTGCCCTTGTTGTGAACGTTATAACTTGCCTTTTCAAAGCGAGAGGGAATAGGTATTATTTAGATGTGCATGTTCTATCGTCGACCTCATCGTCATTTTCCATCAGGCCAAATGTTACAGCTCGCTAATAAGTACCCGGTTTTAGAGTTGTAAATCGCAAACATCTGAGGGGCACTGCCACTGCGCCTGTCGCTATGAGAAATAAGGACAAGTCCCATGTGCCTGTAATTTCACAAGAACGCAGTAATGCTCACATTAGAGCTCCACTGCTAGCAAACTTTTTTTGTGGAGAAATCCTCCTAGGATACCTCTTCGCCCTGGGGGCAGCGGAGAGTTTATGCCGGCTAAAACCCCACGGTGGCCTTCTCGGATGTTGTAGTGGGAGGGATCCGAGATCGACTTTGCGCACCGGAACCCTCCCATCACACCTCCACCACCTCACGACGAAGCGGGCCACACCGCCCCGACGTCCTCCTCGCGGCTGCCAAACTTAAGCAAACTTAACTAAATTTTATAAAAACTTTATAAAGTTAAATGTATCGTATATATTTTAATAAAAATAATGTATTTTTAACGCACGTCCAGTAGTGTATGTGTGAATTATAATTTTATATAAAAAATAAATCTGCGTATTTTTTACAAAAATAATTTTAATGAATCATTCTCAATTACATAAATTTTTTTAATTTATAATTGGTTTAATTTAACTTTAACGTATCTTTTAAATTATTAATAATTATTCTTGTATATCGTTAAGTACAGTACATAATTTAACCTTCGGCTTTTTTGGTTAAACGCTTCCTGATGGAAGCTTTTCGTTAATATGTGGTCACGACGTTGTAGATGTAAGAGCAATGATATTATCATACAGAATACTACAAAGAGTTATATAATATATTACAATATGAAAGTGTGCACATGGAGTCCATATTAAACAACAAAAATTAGAAATAAACATGTTGAACTCAACCACTTGTAATGAGTTACATAACATTTTCCATAGATTTGAAAAACCACG